AAGAGCATCTCTTTTATACGATAATACACTTCTTTCATATCTAAAATTATAAAAAAATTTGTTTTTTTTGAAGTCTGAAATTTGTACGATAAATTTAAGACCATTGTCAGCTGTAGGCTGATCCGGATCGAAGGCCCGCACTGTCAAAATCTGTTCGCCGGGAAGTGCATTCTTCGCTACTAGGACAGAGTAACGGCTTTCTTCGAATAATGGGCCATTATCGTTCCTAAAACAATCCTATAAAGTTTGACTCCTAAAGGCGAGGGTAATGTTCCCTTACACATCTGTTACAATAATATTCAATGACATCCAAACTTCAATATCGTCAATTCGGGCATCTTCGTCGTTAGAGGCACCAATTTGTAGCCTGAAAATTCTCGAAAAATTGTTTTATACTTTTAAATTGGAAGAAATGAACTGACGCATATAAGCTCTTCGTCTCCCTGTCTAGACCAGATGTAAGAACTACTTCGCCGGTGGACGAGTTTACCGAAAATTCTTTGGATGTCTCTCGTAAGCGATAGAAGATCTTCTGCATCTTGTCAGCATCTATGGCTCGCATAGTAGCTATAATCGTTCCTACTGCAGCATCCTCCGGAACCTTAAATAAAGAATAGAAAGTCCTTTCTCTTAGTTAACAGATTAACAGCAATGATAAAAACTTTTTGATATTTCTTGAGATTTTGTGTTTTTGACCTTCCTGTTGCATTTTCAAAGTTTGAGTTACAAATGCCATACTACAAGAAACATACCTCTACCGTAACCCTACTCAAAACGGCTTCAAGAGGATGGTCATCAACGTCCCTTACTCGTATTGTGCTCGACATTTGAGCGAACTGATGCGCACCAGCTTGAAGACCCAGTACCAGCTATAATAAATAGTAGAAACATCAGAAAAAAAGGACTTTCTGAAAAAAAGTTTAGCAGAAGTTTCGTAGTGTTGGGTATAGAGATAAATGACGATAGTAAATGATAAATGGATAAGTATGAATAAAATGAAGACAAAATAAGAAATATTTTTCAGAACGAGCGGTAAAGTTAGACTAGTGTTTTAAATAACTCTTACTATAATTTCAAACAAATTTAATTGATTTTTGTAAAATTCTGGGATGTATCCCAACTTGTGAGTGGAACCAAAAAACTCTTGTAATAAGATACGATCTTCTGCCTATTTTCTGCGCTGCTTTTGCCTATATAATTTTTGCCAAAGGTTTACGATAGGATCCTCTCCTTATGGTCAAAAAAGAAAT